ATTCGCGGCGGGAAGTTCGTGTTTGGGGTTCATGTTGGTAGTGTTGAATTGATTAAAAACGATGTCCCCGTGTTTGTAACACACACACGCGTTTGTACCTCACGCTCGATGTCCGCCATGTCCCTAAGACAGGAAGGCGTATGAAAGACCTCCAGCGCTCTGCGGCTCAACATTAAATAATGTCCGGTTTACGGGTTATCTTCCCCGGAATGTTGAGTCGCTGGAGCTAACTTGTGTGATCGGCGGCGATGGTCGTGTCTGTAGAGAAGTTCCCACAAGTTCCTCTGATGTTCATCCATAGGCTCAGTGAATTTGAGCAAGACACTAAGTGGCTTGTCAATCTGGGGTCCGGGATACCATACCGGCATCAGGGTGGCGGTCGCGTGCGAGAGACTGATTACCCGATGCGGAGCTGCGTTTCGGGGTCGGAGTGTTGCCAACTTGGTTCCGTGTTCGAACGCCCGCGCTTCTAGATCGTTCAAGGGAAACGATACGAGGTCTCCGGGACGGATGGGAGTGGTAGGTTTCCTTGCGTTGCTTAACTCCTGCAGTGCGGCCAACGACAGTCGTACCTGCAAATTCAAATATTGATTTGCGTGGCGAACGTCCTCGGGTAGGGAGTAAGAGCCATTCCAGCGAGGAAGCATGGGTTCCGCTCCAGTCACTGCACATAGGGGGAGCAGCCTAGTGTCTCGTGGGGGCTGCAATTATGGGCGAACATGGCCGCTGATAAGACGAGTTCCCGAGAAGCCGGAAGATCCGATCCTGGTTGAGTACTAAGGACATGGCGGAGAAAACGATGGCTGGCCTCGTTGATGCTATTCTTTTGCGGGTAGAAAGGAGCACAGTGGTAATGTTTGACTCCGTACTGTTCCAGGACCGTGAGGGCTGTAAAGGGGTGGTTGTCGGTTATGATGATTTTAGGGAAACCCATGTAAGGCGCCCATCTCGTCACAAACAAATGTACTGCCGCATCCGTCATGCCATCCGGTGAAAACGCCGCGACCAGGTATCGGGTGGCGTGGTCGATAATGACCAAGATTCGACTGCAATCGGATCCGTACTTGTCCATGACTGAGCCTGTGCGTCCAGTCCCATCCCCATGTCAGGATGTTGTCCGGGGCCAATTGTTCGAGCGTTGGCCCTGGCTGCCGCGTGTCGTGTTTGTCGA